CCGCCTGCGCACCTGGTGTGCCCAGCATTTCAGCGATCAACGATTGGCCAAGAAGTACTACATAGGTTTACCTGTGGATAAGATTGTTCTCCCCAAATTGTACCTGCTTTCGTGTTGCGGAAGTGTTACAAAGGGACAGGAAAGTTAAAAGGAGATACCCCCAGTCCACCACATCAATCATGAAGATCCCACTAATTGCGGTAAGTTGGAATCGAATCGAAAGCAATCAATAGCAAGGATAAAAAGTGTTAGTGTTGTCGGTCATGTCACCACCTCAGCATGTTAGTGAATATAAATATGCATCTATCAAGGTCGTTTGGTTGCCAGCTTAAGGCTCATACTCTATCTTAGATTGAGACATTGTTGGATATATGCGAGCATTTGCATTTAATAGAAAGTGCGCGAGTTGTGTTTACCTGTACCTGTGTCTCAATGCAATGCAATTAGCAATAAATGCTGGCCAATTGACATTTCATTTCGTTCGGCATCATAAAACTTACGATCGATCCGAACAAAAGAACTCGCATCATAAATAGGCGATACAATCACCCAGATATTGTTTTTTCACTGTTGGCCAAAGAATTCCGTTTGAGGAATTACCAAACCAAGCCCTCGGGTCAGAAATTTTAACGAGCATTTGTTGGCTTCAAGCCCAGCTCCGCCTTAACTTTGCAAAATTCCCCCGGCCACCATTATTAACCTGAATATTGGGCTCTCAAAATTGGCACACAATTGACTTAAGTTCAATTGGTTGTGCTGCCAAAGATTATTAAAGACTTTTTAGTTTCATTATATCCAGGAAAATCAAAAATACAAGATATTAAAAAATACAAAATTTAATGTTAATATCCATTATACAGTAAACTTCTTTGACCACACATTTTCTTAAATTTCCAAAGTAAATCTGAAAACACCATAAGTCAGCGATTCCAATTAGATTTTCATGCTTTAGTTTGATTGATTGACTTGGCCAAATTACGGACATGGCCTAATGAGCTTGCCAAAATTTGGACCAGAAAATGAATTGTTAATGACAAGAAAGACACAATTTACAGGAGTATTGTTTGGGAGCAGTTCGTCACGATACCATATTTGTGCTAGCCCCGATTATGTGTATCAAGGTCGTTGGTGGTGCCGCAGCTAATAACTAGTTATGGACGATTGGGATCCACAAAACGCACCCAAGGCGATGCAAATTCTCGGCACGCACACTCCATTCATTTTTCAGTGGCTGCCGCTGCATCAGATTCGGATACAGATACAGATACTTGCCCACACCGCGACTCATTTGGGCGTAGTGTGCTGTGATTACGTAATGGACGGGTATATGGGAGTATATGTATGCCTGCATAAATAAGGCTTTTATACATGCATAAAGCATTACATATTTGAGACCGAAGCCGGCTCGAAAGTGCACTGACAACTATTCCAGCGCAACGAGTCCAGCGAGCTACAAAAATGCGCGGTTGAAATAGGACATATTTTCGATTTCATTCGGCTGTTCATTCGTTTGTTCGGTCAATGGCCATTGGACAGTCAAGGACGGGCCAGAAGTCCTTAGCCAAGTTATTCTTACTAATGATGGTAAACATCGTGGTAATGATCATAAACATATTTTGTTGTCTTTCATTGATGCTTGCGACGATGATGGTGATGGTTCGCCAGAGGAACACCCACGTTTGCATTCAGCTCCACCTGGGCTTGGCTTGAGTTCACCTGGTTTGGTTTCAATTTCAGTCTCGAGCTGGGAACACCTTCCATTACGAACAGTTACACATGGCTACGAAATTTTCGGTTTCCTTGAACTGAGACGCAGACGCAAGGCGGAGTCATAAAAGCAATTAAATCAAATCAAGTTCCCCTGCCGAGCAATGCACCCAAATAAATAGCTGCAAGTGTCTACCAGGCCTTGCGCAGTTTTATACACTTTTTTCGCTTTATCTGGCCTGGCTTTTATTAATTTTTAAGCCAAGTAGTTCACTTGACCAGGTAGTTGGGCAGCCAGCCAAGCCGCTGGCCACTGGAATGTTCGGCTTGAATGGTTCCCCACACACACGAACGAACCAAAAACAAAGCCAAAAGCTCAGATACAGGAAAGTAATGGATAATAATAGAAAAAAAAAATTGTGTCGACTGCATGCATAACAAAATCTGCATGAGCCGGAGGTTTCATTGATTCGATTGATTATTATAAGCCGTAATAGTTATTTATGTTTAAACAATTGAATTATGTGCGACAGCTTAGATTGAAACTTGGCTAAGAGGTACTAGGAAATAGCTACTTAATATGGAATAATAGTTTTATAACGTATTTGGCTACGAACTAGATTTTATTGTAATCATAAATAGGATCTCGGTTAGCTAAGATTACAAATTTAAAAAAGTTTTTTAGAGACAAGCTTGTTGTAAACTTATCTGTACGCCCAATTAAACGAAGGAAAAACCAAATTTTGCTAAAATAATTCTTCCACCAAAACCACCATTCGAATAGAAAACCCTACTCAAGTTTCCAATCCTGCCAAGAACCCAAATGGAAACCAAAATTCCGCATTGGGTTTTATTCACTTCTCCAATCATTAATTCTTGTATATAAGCTTCCACGCCAGAGTGGGCCAAATAGTTATCCGATCTGTGACCAGATGGAAAACGAAACCGAGGGCGCAAAAGCCATAAGCCGACTAAAAAGGCCCCTCCAACCGTCTTAAAATTATGCAACAACAGCGAGTACTAATTAAAAGTTGTCACACTGAAAGTCGTGCTAACGTTAAGTATACGACTAGGCGGTCGGTCATTTGTCCTAGACTTTGACTTCTTTCGCGAACCGGAAACTTTTGGTCAATGTGCTTGCCACATGCTACATGCCGCATAACTCCGGCCATGCAAATTACGCAACCCAGACGCCGAAGTCTGAAATGTTTTCTTTTTTTCTGTTTTTGGTCTTGCTTTTAGCTTTGGCTCAGCTTGTTTTGGCTTTGGATTCGGCTTTTATGATCGATCGGCAGCGAGGCGGGGCAGAAATCGCGATTTGTTTTATGTTCCAAATTTACAGCCATTACAGTACTGCCACAGTTGTTGTTACTGTTGTGGTTGCTGCCACCGCCACACCGTTCCAACTACAATGCTGCTAAAATTGCTGTTGTTCATAAGAGGTTGATAAATTTTAAACCAGTTTACGGAGGTGCGAGTTGAGCCGTTAGCCAAGAAGTGCCACAAAAGACGGGCTGCAAGTGGAGGGTTTCGATCCATAATTAGTAGAGATAAAAGTTTGAGAAATGTTTGGAATATATGTAGTTCCATATCTACAATAAAAATTAGGCTATAGCCAAAAATAACTTCCAGTGGTACAATGAATTTTATTACTTCTGTCAAGAGTAATGCCCCTTTAAAATTATAATAATTATTAACCTCATTATTTGCTAGCTTACATTTTTATATTTTTTTGTAATACACGCTTCCATTGGAATCCATACATAATTTTTGTTGGTCCTCTTATGCCCAATAAGTTTTCGAATAGCTTTCGAATAAGTTTCCTAAAATCTTTGGGGTTTTCCACCCCCAATTCGGCAGAGCGGTGTCAAAAATTCTAAGAAGCCGTTGAGCAAGCAGCATGCCAAAAATGAGCTGGTAAAAATAATTATTTAAGAGGGACACTGCCAAAAGCAATTTAACAGTTAGTGGCAAATTGGCCACCTGTGGCACGCGGTTGCAAAAGCGGTTGGAACGCCTTGTACCGGCAACTGGCACAGTTGACCCTCATATGGGATGCACTAATTACATACATTTTTCCCCTCCAAATCCAGCTCGTTTGCAGCGCGCTCGCTTTGACAGAGGCCCAAAACTATCCCCCGCGCCTGAACATTCCCGGAGCGGTGGCATCACCTGGCCCAGTGCCCCACCGACAGCCTGTGTTGCGTGTCCGCCGTCCAGGAGGTTCATTGCGCCAGCAGAATACCATACTTCCAGCGGTGACGCAACGCATTGCGATCGAGGAGCGTCCTGTGACGGAGTCAGCGGAGGATGAGCAGCCGGAGCCATATCTGCCGAATCTTCTGCGGGAACAGCAGTTGGCCCAGGCACAGCAGTCGCAGTTTCAGCAGGCAGCTGCTGCCTTCCTGGCCGGACAACAACCCGTTGAACAACCCTCGCCGGTGCAGCAGTTCCTTCAGTCCGATGACTCCCAGCCGGCTGCCATCCTGCCTCCTCCTTCTAGATTCCCCGCCGAACGTCCGTCGATTCCAACGCCCTTAAACCGTCCCGCCGCCTTCAATGACTTTGGCATCGGTCGGTTTGAGAACTCGCAGAGATTCGGCTTGGAGCGACCTACACCCACTGCAGCAGCGCCACCACCACCGCCTCAACAGCCCCAGCGGGTGGCTGTGACTCGAACGAGACCAGCGTCAGCCGCTGTCCTACGACCTGAGCCGCCAGCACCACAGCCTGTTGCCAGGCCACGACCTAAGCCCGTCCAGCCGCGTCCCATCATTGATCAAAATCAACTACAGGACGATCACGTTGACCAGCAGCAGCAGCGTCGCCGCCAGCCCGTTTCCCAGACCATTCGCAAGTGGCGTGAGGAAAACGAGGACGGGAGCATTACATGGGGCTATGAGAACGACGACGGATCCTTCAAGGAGGAGCTTATCGGAACCGATTGCATCACCAAGTGAGTAAAACAGATTGGAACCACTTTCTGTCTCCCATTATGCTTACCCAAACTTCTCATTTACCAGGGGCACGTATGGCTACATTGATCCAGATGGCAACAAACGTGAGTACCACTACGAGACAGGAATCAAGTGCGATCCTAACAACCGCAACAACGAGGAAGAGTTACAAGAGAACGGGTTCGTAAACTACGAAGAGAATCGCGCCGTGCTGCCCAATGGCCTGGAGATCGACATGACGCAATTAGGCAAGAAGAAGTCGAAGCGCCCGAACGGCCTTTACAGGAACTGATACTCCCCACAACATATAGTCCCTTAAGTCAAGCAGCTCGTAGGTCGTCTTACTTGTATTCCACTTATAATTATGTCCATACTCCATTGAGTGTCAAGTGAAAGATTAAAATGATTAGAATAGATGAAAGTGAAGAATCAGTAGGGGCGCTGGCGCCTGGCGGTGGGTGGCAGGCGGTTGGGTGGAGTAATCGAGATGTCCAGAAAGTCTCCAATGCTGAATTTGGCCTGAGCAAGTGTCTTGTTATCATCGATTCCTTTTTGACCTGTGCAGGTCACTCCGATTTCGCGCATCTGGAAGTGATTGCTCCGGTAGTTGGGATACACAACGGCAAAGTCAAAGTAGGTGCCCTTCTTCCGGGTATCCGGATTAACGTCGCGCACCAGGGAGGTGAGTTCGTGGAGGGTGGCGTCTTGCCAGGTGTAGATCTGGAGCTCGTTGGTGGGCACGTTGCCGAACATATACTCCGACACGGAGTGGTGGCGTCCCGTAGAGCAAAACACGCGGAGCAGCAGAGGACAGGTCTGAGAAACACATAAACTTATCAGTATATCTAGAGGAAACCCGAAGTAAACATGGCCGGTGCCATCAAACAAACCTTCTCGCGGTCAATTTGCTTGACCTGCGTCTTCTCCTCCACAATCATAGACTCCACGTTGGCCATGTCTCCCTGTTCTGCGATTTAATGTTACTTATTTCCTTAGTTTTAATACAAAATTATCTTTTATTGCAAAATATTTCGGCTTCTCTTTGCTCTTTTCGATAAATACATAATCGATTGCAAATCTATCGTACATCGCCAAGTGTGACCGGCTATCGCTTGCCTATCGGTTTCAGGCCAATCGATGTTTCCAGAAGCACCAAAATTAACCGTTTCTCAGCTCTAGTCCGAAAACAATATTCACTGCGAGCGGTTGTGTCGTCGAACGTAAAACTACGCGTCTCCGCGAATGACGCAGACTGGAACCTTCCACTGGGTTGACAAACGGCTAAAAAACATTCAACAATAGCGGTGCACTTGCAGCTTACCGTTACCGCAGCAACAACAATAACTTCGCTGAGCAGTAGATGCAACCACAACAACAAGGAGAAAAGCAATCACAAGGGGGGAGAAGAGCCGTTTGTTATTGGCGCATTAAAGAAGAATCGCAATTTCGCCACTGAATAGTTTCTACAAACGGTGAGTACATTGTGGCAGCGGTCCATTTGCATACCGAATTGAGATTTGCACTTTTTGCAAGAGTTTCTTATGTAACGGCAACAGCAGAAGCAGCAGCAGCTGAGTTTTACGTGCAAATTGTTGCTGTGTTGCCGTTGCGTTGTTTGTGTTGGTGCCGCAGCGTCTGCGAAAAGTCACCCCTTTTGCAACCACCCTCCACCCCCCTGTACCAACCTGTCATCTCTTTCTCTCTCTCCCTCTCGCTTGATTTGTTTATAAACACTCAGGAATAAGCCGCTGCTAAATACCGAATTGTTTTTATCACACGGAGTACAAGGCTATCACATCCCCAGCCACCCATTCGATCTGTGCGTTTTTATGCACGCGCCTTCATTTGCCGACACTAGTGCCATGCTGTTTTTGTTGTTCTAGAAGTTAAAATTATTGCAGTGGCGCGGAAAGTGTGGTCATGTGGGGCTTTCTAATGTGTCAACAAGGACTCAATTCGTCATAACCAGCATATTTTTATGTTTAGTCAAATACCAAGAAATAAGTGAATCAAGAGAACTGACATTTATAGAAATGTAGTGGGCAGAACCAGTAGAGAGTAAAGAGATTCACTAGGGGCGTCGAATCCCGCACGTAAATAAACCCCCTTCTAAAAGAGTATTTCAACTTCGGGGTGTCTGAATATTTGTAGTTGGCTCGTGTTTTAAAGTCCTCGAATCCACTCCCACCTCGTTGATCCTGCAGCAGCTGTTTTTGCCATAATTCCTGCTGCTCTTGCGTGGGAGCAGAATGTTTGTTGTTCCTGCTGTTGCTATTGAATTCCACCCCTTCGTCCTTGGCCGTCAACCTTCGTCCTGTCCACAGCCATTGTTCTGTGGACTCGTATTGGCCGGAGCGGAGGGGTTGTAGCCGTGACCGTGACTGACTGCCCGTAACCCCAGCAACGACCATGTAGTGGACGATGTCATTGTTATCGCATACTGTAGAAGCTTGTGAACTGCGGTCGGGATGTCCAATATTAAGGAAGACGCATAAAATCTGTTTTTTTTGGTCACTTTGAAAAATATACTGCAAAATGTATAAAGATAATACTCAGAAGTTTTCTGCGACAAAATATAGCGTAATGTCTAAATACTTGATCGTCTTGTTGCTTTTTAAGCAACAATAAGACTTAAATAACCCAACGCAATTGCAAAAAGTGTACTTTAAGCTAAACACTCTTTCTGAGGTGAAGGCTTACTGGCTCCAGCGGAATCGTATGTATTCGATCGGGGGAGCTGGGTGACGATGTGAACAATAAAGTAATATGTTTTTCAAAATTAAATTCCGCCCACTGTCCGTGGTGTTTTCTGCGGCTGCTGGCTGAATTTTAAGCGTGCCAAGTCTTTGGTTGAAAAATGGAGACGTGCGGTGGGGGGCGGTTTGTTGCCACTGCTGCGGTCGCTTTGTTGCCGCCGCTGCTGCTGCTCCTTTCGTTTTCGTTATTTTTTCTAAAATATTAATTGCTTTGAGCAACAGTAGAAGCCCTTGGCTACTGCTCCAAACCCAATCTTTTCGAATTTCCGAAAATTCCCCAAGCAACAGCAAGCAACGACTTTGTAGAAGTGCCAAGGCGAAACAGACGTAACCGAAAGCAATAAATTCACAAATGCAAATAAAATGCGAGCTTTGCTACAACTCCTGTTCTGTATATGTAAATACATATGTATTTGATTCTATTTTTTACCGACTAGTTGACAGGGGCGTGTGCGTGGGCGTTTCTACTGCCAGCTACAGAACACAATGACCTGGGTGTAAATCCCGATGCCATTCCTATCCATATCCCTATTCCCCGAATGCCCAGTGGGGCCCACTTGCTTGTTGCGAGGACAGATTTACTCGCCATTTCCAACCCTGATGCCATTCCACAGCCAGCTGTTCGGACTTTCAGATAAAGTGCACACTTAAAAGAATCATGGCAAATTAATGCTTGTGAATGAAGTGGCATATCATCGTTTCATGGCCAAAGGAAATCTAGAATTAGATATTGGAAAAAACTAGCAGCAGATAGCACCTATTGGAAATAACCAAGAAATCTGGCTGGTTATAAACGTATTATCCCATTAAGTTCTTGAAGATTGTATAGAATCAGGCTAACAACCAAATTGCGTTAATTGCACATATAATTGCCTTACATTGTATTACACTTTCTAGCAGTATTCAAGATTTTTTCCTATATATAGCAATTTATTAGTTCTTACTCATGCATAATGAGTAATATTATTTTTTAAATTTGTTTTTTTTTTTATCTTGGTTAACCCACTCGTAATATATACACGAAGATTCATATAAATGATGATTAGTTCTGCTGGGGAAAAAATCACTGATAAATTTATTTGTATACAACTGCTTTCGAAAAGCAATTAAAAATCCACAGTATTTTAAGATAAGGCGAATTGCAAAACCATTAACTTGTTAATGTGCAGGTACAAACTTTTACTTCTATTTCCTTCTGCAAAATAACTCGAAAACATCCCGATCTTAAGAGACTGCAAAAGTCCAAGGAAAGATCACTCGTCTGTGCTTTTGATTGGGACCGAACACTGAATCCACGTCCGAAAGATATGAGAGTGCGTATATGTGGCCAGAAAATTATGTATACGCAGCGTTTCCTCATTGTGAGGAGCTGCTGACGCAAAATAAATGAAACGATTTAAAAAAAAAGCTACTCATAATTTTTGCCCCAACGATTGGGGCCTGTGTTGTCGCGTCTGTTGTTCATTTTATGCTATTTCTGTTTGCGTTTGCTTTTGTTTTGTTTTGTTTTCCTGCTTCTTTGCCTGCCGCTCTGTCGAGGTGTTGCCTTTTTTCCAGGGTTTTGCCAATTGATGAATTGAGTACGTACAGACCGCTGCCGGCGGCTCTTTCGTCAATTGGCTTGACTGGATCTAGCTGCAGTTTGCACTGACGTCACGTCCCAAAAGCAAAAGTGCCCCTAACTCACTTAACACATTGGACTGATTGGCAGCGACGTCGATTCCATTTGACTATATGTGCGCATACGTATGTTCTGCTTGACTTGAGGTATACTCGGGCTGTAAATGTCTCAATTAACCACAGTAACAATAGCCAACTGTTATCTATGGAGTCTAAATACGTCCATTTGGTGCGTCAGTAGGGTCTGTCGTCGCGATAAGGAGCAAATCGAGGGGACTACCGTGGCCATGATTTACGATAACCAGCGGGTTTCAACCGGTTGAACTCAACCTTAAACTACTGATAACACTTGCTTAAAAGCGATTTATAGTTATTTTCGCTGTACACAATTTTAATTCCTTCGAGAGCAATATTGATTCTACTGCGACCAAAAACCACAGTAAACTTTTGGTACTCTCTTCATCCTACCCAAATCAGCGAATTTCGGCAGCACATGTCGGCGATGGCTGCTCCTAATAGAAATCGCTTTTGCATAGCCAAGTTGGCCCAAACTATTTTCGTGTCAAAGCGCTGACAAGACGAGCGCACACAGAAACCCACGGATACACAGATACACAGCTACATTTGCACTTGGAGCCGCACAGTTGCGAGTGACAGGCGACAACAAAGGGGCTGGTCGAATTGGTTTGAGTCTGAGTCCGAGGCGAGGGAAAACTCCTCGGAATCGCCCAAGGACTTTGAGTGATAACAATCCAATTTGTAAAAGTAGTGGGCGGGGGTGGGTGAGCTGTTATGGTATGTATGTGAGTGGGGGCCATATTAGAATTTACAGTTTCGTCGAAGGTCAATCGAAATGCCAGGAATTTTCTGGCCTCAAAAAAAGAAACAATTTTTCAAACATACACTGGTACAAATGCGTTTGCAATCCTATTGCGGTGCGATTCATCAGTGTGTAAATGATTTAATTAACAGTTCATGCCTGGAAGTGTCGGGTAATTACGAAAACCTGATATTGTCATGCAATGCCAAAGGTAAATTCAGCAAATTCAGTGAATTCCCCTCGAATGCTGTGCGCAGCCAACAAAGGTCTCAGTTTTAACAGAGCTATGTATATAGTTGTTATAATGGACGCCCCTTGTGACTGGACGGGTGGTTAACAACTGGCCACTGGATAAAGGGATTACTTTTAATATTCCCACAAAACAAATCTACAACGTTTACCATAGAATTAGCAAGAATATTCGTTACGTACTGAAATACAAAAAAAAAAGGATATTGCATAATTCGACATAATTAATATTTGCAATTAAAATTGTCAGTCTACAGTAATTAACATTCCCCTGGCAATTCCATATTTGCCGTGTACTAAGAAGTAAGTTAATGGTCGGACATTTTGGAAAATATATACTGAAATATTGAACAGCTTGATTTAATGAAGTTTCGTACAGTAGCGACTATAGCGTTCTATATTGTTTTTAATTCCCCTGGTGTTGATTGATCTTTGCGCTATTTCGGATGCTACAATTAATAATATTCGGACGTGTATATAGCAAACACAATTCCCCGCTGGTCTGCAGCCCAAAGCTAAGCCTTTTGCATTTTACACACAATTTTGCGGCCAATCAATGTCCTGCCAATCAGCTGTATTTGGTTCCACCCACAACCACCCACCCACCAAGGTTGTGCCACTCCCACGCAAAACCGCCCATGCTGGGTAAGCTTTCGGTGAACGTTTCACCTTTGGTAGTAATTATCCAGCCACAGCAGCCGTGAAAGCAAAGTCGGTTTTGTTTGGTGGAGCTAAATTACAGAGAATTCCAATGTGTGTGTGCGAGTGGGAAGAATAGCATACTTTCAGGTGCAGCCGATAGATACGAGTGTTTAAATTTCTAACAAGCAGCAGCGTGTGTGGGAAATTACTAAGCCAGCACCAGAAGCAATCCAGCATATATTGAACAGGGAACAAAGGAAAGTTTCAAACTAATTAGGATTCAATTAATTTAGTTGACGATGCTTTCAGCAAAATATCTTAAGTTTCGCACACGATTCGCGTGTTGTCCTGCCACAAAACTCCTGATGTAATACTCTCTTCAACCGCCTAGCAAGCAGAAACCGACCTGTACCACCTGCACCAGTACCTGACCGCCTGACCTTTAGCTTTTATAGCTGCCTTGAAAGGATTCCGGTTGCAGCAACATGTGACATGTGGCAAACGAAGCCGACACTTTCAGGCACAAATATGAGCAGCAAAACCTCGACCGGCAACCGCAAGGAGCTGTAATAACATAGAGCTACGCTTTGAGCTGTCTATAAAGGCCAGGAACAATTTAATTAAATTCCAGGCGGCTTACATCAATCGCAAATATCTGGTTCAGACGGGTGGTATCTGCCAGAAGAAAGTTTAAAATTTCAGCAGAAAATCAAATTAATCTTCCCCCAGCGTTATTTGCATTTGCATTCAAATAGGGTAAACTGAAATTGCAACTGCAGCAGCAGCAGCTGTAATGGAGAGTGGAAAACGCACTTGTGGGATTTGCCTTTTGTCACGAAATCGGACGATAATGTAAATAGGGCCACAATTTACTCACACTTGTTTTCGCTTGCACACATCCGATCAATTTTAAGTAGGGGATGCGAGCTTCAATTAAATAGCAAATTTACACATTTAAGCGCTTAAAGAGTTTCAAGAATGTCCTATAGGTTCTGATCAATATTGTTGAAATAATTACAAAATTTTTAGAATGGCTAGAAAAAAGGACAACGATGATTTGTTTGTGCTCAGCTTAAAATCGTACACATATTTGTTTACATCCTTTTGTTGCTGATTTTTTTTGAGTGGCCCAAGGATGCCGTCTAAAATGATTTAAAGAGCTTTTGCGTGTCTTTGAGGTGGCTTACATGCGGGCTACTTATGGCTAAAAATCTGCAAAGTCTGACATGGCGGGATGAGCAGAAGGATGGATGGATTGGCAAATGATTACATGGATATGGATGGTTGGATAGAGAGCAGGAGTCCCAGGGCGGGGGCGGGGGCGGCAACCACTTGATATAATGATGACAGCAATTATGAATGAGTGAAGGTCGTTGGCTAACGACCGGCAGGCAATTCATCATCATGTCGAAACCACGGCAGCGCCTCTGCTCTCCAAAAGTAGGCGGGGCTGAACGCTACTTTTGTCTAGTTAAAAGTGCGCTATCGGCCCGCTTTCTTCGCTTTTTATGGATTGCGTGCAGGAACGGTGACGTCACACGGGGCCCGTGCGATTTGCATGCCAGCAGCTCGTTTATGCTGACTTGCACCTACAGGCGTCCTCATTCCCATGCTGCTCCTGAGATAGGGATCAAGCTCAACGGCAAACAACGGCAAGTACACACGTCATGAACAACAGCCGCTGGAGGCAAAAGTAACAATTGCGTGGGTGTGTCCTTTCAAAGAAATCAATCATCCGGAAATAGATGAACTCGTCGTTGGATTCTTTTTTGGCCTTTGTTTTTATTGTTATATAGGCCACTTGCTGTTGTTGCTCTGCTCGGTTACGTTAAGGTGAAAGTAAAAGCACTAACAAAGCATCAACTATGGGAATTCAGGAGGGAAAGAGCTTCTTGCGACGCGTCTGGTGAGCTTTAATACCCAGTCCTTGACCTTGTCATTCCTTCAAGTGGTTATTTGCTTTCAGAAGATCATATGTATAAGCTTGTCACAAAGGTGGGATTGCAATTTAATCAAATTAAAAGGCAATTTACTTCAAAAGAAGAACTTTATTTGCCAGCTCTAAGATCTCTCAAGATCTAAGAAAACATACATAGTCCATAAAGCAATAGTTGATAGTTTTTACTTTATTAAATAGCCAAGGATGACCCTAAAGCAATTTTATTTATCCTTCTTACACTGTCTTTGCCACCAAAACCAACGGATTTTAATACCCATTTAAGGTTCTCGGGAATTTAATTTATGCCCAAATTATTAATTAAGAAATACAAAGCAAACATTTTCAGCTCCTGGGCCGAATCCTTGCATGAAAGCTCATAAAAACTTTGCAAATTAGGCACCCAAAAACTAAGCCAATATTGTTAGCTCAAGCTAGCACAAAAACCCATTTGCATTTGTCTGAAATAACTCGCTGCCCGGGTAAACAGCGTATAATTAACTCTCTGCATATTGCTGATTCATGGGCCACAATAAAACACTAAGAAGAATGCTATTTTTATAGCATACAAATGGGCAACCATCCAGAACTACAACTGGCAGTTATTATAATGAAATCTCTTGGATTTTCAGGGAATGGGTTTCATGGCGGTCACAGGTGCGAAGCAGCCACACGTCACCATTTATACTCTGACGCCAGCTCCTCACTAATTCATTCATTCATAAAAATTTCGCTACTATTAATCACCCGTCTGGCGCTTTCCCTGCGCCATAAGTTTGTGCCAAGCAGACATAACAATAAAATCAAGAGCAGTTGTGAATCAACAGTGCGTCACCAGCGGATCCCCCCCTAGAGCTCCAACCACTTGGTAGACCTATTGATTGGCTTCACGTGCCGATATTTAAGTCCTCGCCTGCCGCAAACCCACTTCCTTGTGTTCCGCCGCTGCTTCGCAAACTTGGACACGTTTGTAGTTTTTGGTAGAGTAATTGGTTAGAAGGGCTGCCGTGGAAAGAGGTAGAAATTCTTTTGTCGTAGCGTGGCGCTCGAAATTTATTACAAATATATTACGCTTACGAAAACCCTAGTGCTTACCCAATCCCCTCGGCCTTTGTGTGGAATTAATTTGCGAGTGCTGTTTACCAATTTTTCAAAAATGTTTTGGAGGTGAAGGTTAGCCAACTGACAGTTCTATTTATGGAGAATGTCACTGACTTGTTGAATCCAATTACTGTAAAGTCCGTGCTCGTTGGGCTATAATTAAAGGCCGTACGAGTATAACATAAATATAGAAGTAATGGCTCACAAAAATAACTTCTTTGAACAGCGGTTACTTCCCACATACATTTGCCATTAAAAAAACAGTTTATTATACAAAATGAGATTTATGACGAATTAATTTATTTGACCCCACTAATTAGTTGCTAAACAAAAAAGGGTTTATGCTTCGTAAATAATAAATGGATAGGTTAACAAAAGTATTTTGCTGGACTGATACTCGCCGTATTTCACAGAGAGACTTCTTATTAACTTCAACTATATCCTTTTTATCGACATTACTTAAAAATATCTTTCTTACCCTTTGCAGCCAGCCATGTCCGACGGAGCCAAGTCCAACAACAATGCGTCCGCCGATGTACCCGATCCGGCCACTCCTGACGCCACTGGCGAAGCTGACGCGGGCAATGCAGCCACTCCGACAACTCCTCGTGGCAATCACAACAACAACAACAGCGCCAACGGCCGAAGCAAGAACAAACTGAAGTCTACGCAGAACAGCAGTGGAGGCGGCAGCATAGACAAGCTGTCACCGGACCAGGACATCTTCATCAACGCCGCGGACGGCCTACCCAATCAGCATCCGTCGCTACCAAAGGAGGGAGACGTGGATAGCGACACAGAGCCGGAGGTGGATGCAGACTCGTTCGACGACCTACCCACCTCGATCATCGTGACCAACATTCACTCCGAGGTGTTTACCAATCCAGAGCTGAAGCACGCAATGGAAGAGCTATTCCGCACATTCAGCGAATCGGCCTCGTTCCAGTGGCTGCGCAGTTTCCGACGCCTGCGGGTTAACTATGACAACGCCATTGCGGCGGCAAATGCGCGGATCAAGCTGCACCAGTACGAGTTCAACAAGAAGACGGTTATTACCTGTTACTTTGCCCAGCCGGTGACACCGGTCAGCAACAAGAACCTGCAGCCACCGGCGCCGGTCAAACAGTTCCTCATCTCGCCGCCCGCCTCGCCACCAGCCGGCTGGGAGCCACGCGAGGAAGGCGAGCCACTGGTCAACCATGATCTTCTCGCTGCGCTGGCTAGCCTCACACCCGGCGAGTCGCACGAGCTGCATCCTCAGAGCGAGGACCAGCCGGCCATTATTGTGCACACCGCCATGCTACCGGAGACAGGGTCGGGACTCCAGGTGAAGGCGCCAATTGTCCAGACCAAGTGCCCGGAACGGGCATAATCATTACGTGGACACGAAACTAAAGCTGAAAACCTGAGTTTTAAAGCCAAACGAACGGGGCAACGGGTTGGGTCTCATGCTCTGCGGATGGTTGGGGCTTTGATTGAGTATTTTTTGTAAATATTTTCCGATTCAATTGTGATTAATTTACACATACATATAATTAGCTACGTTCGTATGTTTGTATTACTAGGCACTCAAACTCCCATACCCAACATACTTTTCCCACCCTTCCTTCAAGCGTAGCATTTACCCCAGCTGGCTTCTGATACAAGTTCATTGGCAAGCAACCGCATCTAGATGTGTTTATCTCGCGATTTGAGTGTGTCTTTGTGTAAGAATATTGATGTTAAGCCATTGCAAATACCTGCTAACAATATCTCTATCTCTGTGTACCTTCGACGGGAAATCGCTGATAGAGGCGCTACCGAGAACAGCGATCCGAAATCCCAGATATAAAGCTACTATATCTATGTAAATGTTAATATAATTCTAAGCCAGCGAAATGGTGTAACGATATCGCATCAGATATCGGCATAAATACATACGTTTATAAATCTATATGCCTATGTGTAGTTAAAATTTAAATTGAAAATATATTCAAATTCGAAATGAATGTTCTCAAATGTACCAAACAAAACAAAATTAAGAATTACCAAACAAGAAACAAAAACAAAAGAACCAAAACAAATCTCTTTAAACAAACTTTAATTGACGGGTGCTGCAGCAGGGAAAAATCAGCTAGTGTAAAGGGAAGCGATGGGTTATGGATTTGACATTGGAAATCCCTGTCGACAATTGGCAATTCGATAGTGCAATTGAGTGGAAATTACTGAAACTTTGCAAGGCCAAACGAATTGGAATTGGCTGTGTCGGTCGGAGAATAAACTTTAATTGGGAAAAGTTGGGTAAACATTTTGGGTTTACTGGTTTCATCGTAAAGAAAGTTGCAATTAAAAAGAACTACAAGTTATATGATACTGTAGATTTTATTGATAGAGCCTAAAAGAAGGCAACGCTATTTGTTGCAATTGACTGCTCATAAAGCACCTAAATTTCTCTAAAACTCACTTTACGGTCGAATAAATAAAAGAAAGAATTCGTACAAACAAAAAATGGACACGCAGAAAGAGAAACGAGTGAATCCACATATTGGGATTCCCTCTGTTCTGGGCATCATTTTATTCACTTGGAATGGATAGAAACTAGAATAGAAAGCTTACTACTAGGCAGAAGAGCAGAGTTCTTAACAAGAAAAAACAGGATAACAAGGGCTTTGAACTGTATTGTGGACTTGGGAACAATCATCTTTGGCTAGGTTCTACTTGCTCTCGATGTTCTTGAGCGGCACCATCTGCTCAGGATCGTCCGGATATACGCTGTTCTGGCGCTTCTTGCGACCAGCACACTGACTGAACCAAGTATCTCCCTTTCCGAAGTTCTCTCCATCCTCAATGGACTCGGGCATGGGCTGGTTCATTGTCTCCGGCAGGAACATTACCCAGAAGCCCGAGATCAGGGCCACCACGCCGAACAGCACGGCCGGAATCTTCGGATCAAATGAGTCCAGCAATGTAATGAGCGGTGTAAGGGCTCCCGACAAACGGGCACACATCGATCCCAATCCCATGGCTGAGTTTCGCACCACGGTGGGAAACAGTTCGGCCGAGTAATTGTAGATAACGGCAAAGGATCCGGCGATGAGGAGCTTTCCTGCCATTACCACCGCCGTGGAGGTGGTGCTGCCCTGGGCAATGTAGGCGGCCACAATGCAACACAGACCGCCACCCAACATCAGGGTGGATGTGATCGAACGACGACCCAGGCGATCCAGGACGAACACAATGGTTATGTAGCTGGGGAACTCCACAAGGCCCATGATGAACAGGATCAGGTAGGGATTACCATACAGCTTGCCGGCACTAAGTGATAGTCCGTAATAAACCAGGGAATTGGCGAACCAGCAGAGGCACACGTTCAGAGTCTTCATCCGCAGGTTGGGCGTGCGGAAGAGATCGCCCAGTCCGGCACTGGACTTTTCCTCGGTCGCCGCCTGCTGCTTGGCCTTCTGCACATAGTACTCCTTGTCCACCGGAATGCCCGATCCGTTGATCTTCAGGCCCTTGGCCACAATATCCACCGCCTCTGCGGCACGTCCCTGCATCCACAGCCAGCGCGGAGATTCATCGAGCCACCACCAGTGGCCCAGGAACAGGCAGCCATGCAGTCCGTAGATCACCTGCAGCAACTGGCGGTCAGGGATGAGTGCTCCCCATCCGGCCACCAACATGATGCCACCAGCGAAAACAGCCTATAAGTATGGGACAGTATTAGTAAATACTTCGAATACAAATATAGCCGAACCATTTCGAAAATGATTGACTTATTGAAGTCTTCCTCACCTGGAAGGTAATGCCGCACACAGTGCGCTTGGTGGGTCCCACCAGTTCCATGGTCAGCACGAATCCACAGATGTAGGCGCCCGCCGATCCCACAATGCCCAGCAGGTAGCGAGCCACCATAAATGAGAAGTACTCGGGAATGAAGGCCACACCCACACCGATGATCAGTTGGAACAGGGCCGACCAGCAGAACACGGTTTTGCGACCCACTTTATCGGCGAGTCCGCCAAGGGTGACGGCGCCCGTGAACACGCCCAGCATGAACACGGTCTGCACAATTGCCCCCATCCAGCGTCGGTCGCACACAAAGTTCCAGTCGATGGTGCGCGAGGTCTTGTAGTACGTCGTGTCGTATACGTAACTTTCGCACTTGATGGTGGTATTGGAGCCCGGACTAGTGGGATCGAACATGAGGCAGGACTCCAGCTCGCCATTGGGCTTCAGCGGAATGGCGGCCAGGATAGCGCTCGAATTCCACGGAGTCACCGACAAGCTGCTGTTATCCACGCCCTCGATGAAGCAGCGATGCTCGGGCACGGCGGCCACCGTGACCAGCGATAGCATGTGCATGCCAGCGGTCAGGCCGGAAAGCACCTGCAGGAAGAACTGCAGGAACTGGTACTTTCCAAACTCCCCTGGAATGGGTAAGATAGAGAGTCATACCACAACTATTATTGTCTTGGGTAAGGTTATGAACACACAACAAATGGGAGCTTTTGGCAACATAAGAGATAGTGATTATCTGTAGCAGCCATGAATCACCCACTTTACGATGAAATATACTAGAAAGTAAGTAAGTTGTATCAAAAATGAAAGTTGTTCTAGCTTAACTTGTTCAATAAGCTCTTATTCGTCATAGGTCGATTAAATTTGAATATATGTATCTCACTGAAATCATTATTCAAATACCACGTAACAGCGATAAACTAGTGACAGACGAAACGCAAGGAAACACCCGACTTTTATGTAGATGGGAATTTTTAATGGGTATCGCTGGAACTGTTGTCACGCCCAAGGCTTTGCAATTAAATCAAGTGGAATTTATTCCATTCGATTTCAATTGAAGCGCATTCGCCTGGCCCGTCAAATATTTGCCCACAGTTTGGTTTGGTTTAGTCTATGTGCTTGCGAACCCCATGAAAAGAGACTCGGATGTCTTGGGAGAATGCACTGAATCGATTATGACTTTGGTCAGTCCAGGGCGATCGCGTTGATGGCGGCCAGGGGCTGTGTAAATGTCTACCGACATGGACACTATGTAGCCTAGATACGAGAATTTGACACTTGAGCGGTCCAATGTTCAATCAGCCGTTTCAATTGATTTGTGGGTTACATTTATTGATCGTTTAAGCGAAACTCTTGCCATCAAATGAAAAGTTACGTTCACCCCTGTTACGTCAATCATGAGTAAAACGTCTGAGAATTTTCATTTCTCATATTTGAAAAAATTATGAAGTGTAAAATTATGTCATAGGGTTGAGTTAATTAATCTCAATTATAACATTTTAAGCTATACCTAATGAATTCCAAGTACGCCCCCAATAGACATAATCAGCGTATAATTGAGCGCAATCTAGGATTTCGATAGCGAAAAATCGTGATAACAAAATTCGGAATAGTAAATACTAAAGTGGAATTCATTGTGAATTGTTAGAGGCCACTAAATGCCAGACCATATATCAGTCTTATTGTAGCTTCAGATTTATTGCGTCCGTACAGTACAACTAGCAGAAAATTGTTACCAAGTGGCCCTTAAATACGAAATTTGCTTTCAGGCCAGTCAATGTTTAAATGTTTGTAGCACATGCACATTCAAATGAATGTGGACCGTTGTTTACTCTGGGTAGACTTTGAGCGATAAGAGAGATTGATAAGGACACGAGTTATAAAATAAAACCTGCAGTAATATTTATAATATTTTTGCACATGTGTATTATGATTATAAACTATTAATCTACCATCAACTGATACATTATTTCAGAGCTGTTTTTTTTTAAAACGGTGCAGATTTGTTTCTGCTTAAGTATCATGATTCGTATTATTGTGGTAGATCATGGTTTTAGACCTCTACGTATGGCTTTTCTGCTTTTTTTTATCCGTACTTCAACATTTTCACTTCCAACGATTACTAAAAACTGAAGGTCGACTTAGTTGTGTTCTGAGCTGCTACATAGCACACGTGGAAGTGCTCTCAAAGTCATTTAAAGTTGCTGGTTTTGTTGTAACCTTCTTACGGCCAAAAACACGAATTCAGCACTGCAACACGCCTCCAAATTCGAAGTAATTAGAGTTGCTGTTCGCCAATAGGCCTTCAACAAAGTAAACAGAAATAAAAGAGCGATATGTGAGTTTTGATGGCTGAGGGGTTTGCCATACAGTTGAGTCTGAGAAAACCAGTTTGAGTTTTTGCATTTTACTGATACAAATGTGTACGAATATATTACGAATAAAAAAGTCGCTAATGCGATTATTACTCCCTCTCTCCTGTCACTTTCTTATAGGCTGCGGTTTCGCGAGTGCTAAATAAAAAACCAGTTTCGGATTGTTGCCTAGGAAAAGCTATTCCATTTCAATAAACGACAGAGTCAGTATCTTTCAGTATCTTTGATATACATTATATATTCATCTAATACAGTAGCACTAAATGTTTATTAAACGCCTCATAAATTTGTGATTTGTAGCCCTGACAACTAAAACTGTTCATCCATCTATCTTGCACTGTATTCCCACAACTATTATTAACTGTTTTGCATAGAGCATATAAGCAGGCTTAATTTTGCAGCTCCCACACGCTAGCTGCAAAGTTTGCACTACAACTAGAATACATAATAAATTATAAGCAAATACCCAGATATCCGTAGATCCCAAGATCTTTATGACGAGCCTACTTCACAGCCTTGTGATACCGCCCCATTTGGCCCCTTTTTCGTTTACTTGTTATAAGCCACTCTCGTTTTATCGTCACTGTGCTAAAACCAAGAAAGCTCAACAAGTGCCAGACATCATCCGGCTCAGAACTTAACCCACACGAACATGTGTCGCTATTATATAGTCTATGTAAGGTATCAAACTGTCATAAATGTCTATCACTTGGCGGCCTCGAGTATTTATTAAATTAAAAATAGTGCAAAAATAAAATAAAAATAGTTGCAATTAAAAAAGTATTAGAAGCGGCTTCTTTTGAGCACTTGAAGAACGGATGGCAAGCCAGATTAGACGGATAGATTAGGCGGAGATTATAAACATAATACGGAAAAATTAATTATAGATTTTAAAAGCAGAACAGACGGTTCTGCGATAAACCGCATTTGCCGTCGTTGGAACAGAATATTATCCATAGTAGCTTGCACCGCTGATAAGACCTCTCAAAATGATAAGCATAACGCCAGGTCTTATCAGCACGGGATGGAGACGCCTGCCAACGTAACAGCTGACCTTTTGAAAGTCTTCCCTCCCAGAAGCACATTCCACTCACCAAGTTTCCCCATGAGGTCCTCCAGCACATAATCCACAGCCATGTTTGACTTTTTATTGCGAGTGATACGAGTGTAAATGAAAGTTACTGTATGGTGTTGCTTGTTAACAAATCGTCATCTTATGCAGAAGTGGAGCAAATATGAATGGAACACCACTATTGGTACTACTGATAGTTACGGGTCGCGCAGATGAAAACGAATCCGGCATAAACAACGTGCTCGAGTGAATCGAAACGGCAAACGGAGCGCTCGATCAGCTATCAACTCTTCCGACCGCCGGCAGCATTTGAACTGGCGAATACTAACTGCGAACTGTGCCGCTCAGCGAAAAAACCGAGTGGTCCCACACATGGTGGTACATGGCGATAAGGTCGCTCCAAGCTCGCGCGTGGAGAGAGCTTGTGGATCGCGGGTCTCGAATGGGTCTCCAAAGTTGGTAGCTTAAGAGCAACCTCTGCTGGGGAGTGAGAGCTACAAAATGTGTTTTCTAAGTCTGGAACGTAAGAATAATGTAGCCATTATGCAATTGTGATCCTGCATACATATATGAAAATACATAATGGTAATGACGATATCAGGATCCCTTAGAGTTACACTTCAAATTCGATCAGGAAACGGAAACTTCACTTCTAGCACACTTGAGCTATTCTCACAGCCTGCGCCAACCCAATTTTCACATTATCGTAAAATATTCAAAAACTCAGAGCCAAATTACACGAAGAAACTCTAAAGTACATTATAAAATTATGAGTAATCCAAGCTTTTCAGATCCAGCGACAGTCTTGTTCTTAGATATGCTGGCAGATATTTTAACGCACGACAGCCTTCAAATGGAGTCAGATTTCAACACCAAGATGCAGTTTATCAATGAAATAGTTAAAACTTGCGAAGACGATGCCAAAAATGTGAGGTTCAAAATCAATAGGCAACTAGAAAACTAATTTGTCATACTCCAACAGCTACATTACGTGGGTCAAACCCTGAGATCAGCACGTTGCAGCATGCTTAAGTTAGAAATGGATCTGAAAGAGAACGAGGCTAACCTGATCGAGGCGGAGAAACTAGTTGAAATGTCAGAGCAATGTCAAAGTCCTGAGGTCGTGTCCTACCAAACGTATCCTTTGGGACGTCCCACTTATCAGGATTTGCTGAGTTTGCTCATGTCCACTGAAAAAACTGCCGATCAGTGCAACCAGATGAAAGAGGAGATCGTGATGAATAACCATCCGATCCCTGCGAACGGTATTCCCGGAAATCTGGTATGATATGATGACTAAGAGTTAAATTTACAGTTTTCATAGTGAGTGCATCAACAGGTTGCCAAGCTTATTGATTGCCACCGATGTACCCTGGAGGCCTTGGAAAAGCAGATGGAAAATTTGCAGAGCCATGTCGCGGCAGTTGATAAGGAGTTCGGACACCTTTATAACGAACAAGATGCAAGTAAATTCAACGCCCCGTGCCCCTGCAAACCGATCGAGAAGTTAAAGCCAAAGGACGGTTGTGGAAAACGCATTTAATCTATTAGATTATATATATTTCCAACGAGTTTTATAAATGCTTATAATGCTGCAAGTTCAACTTTTCGCTTAAGATTATGTTTGGTGTTCTGGGCTTAAATTTTAGTTGTTGGCATCACGGAAAAACAACACATCGTCGGCTATGATGCTGGTGCTCGTCTTCTGGTTGCCCTGCTGGTCAGTGATCTCTCCGTAGGTGATCTTTCCCTGCACCATGGTGCGCTGTCCCTTCTTCAGGTATTCCAGCACGGTATCACGCAGATTGGGCTTGAAAACCACTACACGATGCCAGTCCGTGCGCTGGGCCCAGTCGCCGTTCTCATATCTGTGGGGCAATGGTAAGCAGTACATTAACGCCTTTTAATGATTTATAGTGGCAAATGTTATATATACATATAACTATGAATACCACATAAAAATAAGAATAGTTTCTTCACTGAAGTTAATTCAACAAGGAAATTTACAAGATTGCCTACATACAACTAAATGTTCCAATAACTCATTACATAAATCCGAATTAGCCACTCAACGTGGTCTTGCTTGTAGGTTATAGCTAATAACTAACTAACCACATTTATGTAGCTTTTGTAGTGGCATAGACTGCTCTTGCCTCCTCTGAGATTTGAACTCAAGTTCCGTTGTAAACGCATGCTGTGCGGCAACACGCACACATAGAAGCTTACTTGTAGTTGGTGTGTGTGGCTACCGAAAAGGTGACCACCGGATGCTCCTGGGATCCACGGAGTTGCGGATCGGCTCCAACTCGTCCCAAAATGGTCACCGTGTTAACAGCTGTGGTTATTTATTCAACAATTAATGCAATTCCACAAATAAATCTAAGAACTACTCACTTTTTTCAACTTTGGCGGGCGCCGCTGCCGTCGTTGTTGCCCCGCGTGCAGGCAAATTTCGCAGGCCGCTCAAGAGGGGATTCAGCTAAAATAAATTACATGTTTTATTTACTGTACTTTGCAATTTACCGGCTTTTTAATAATATTAAAAACTTAAAAACTTACCATGCGCCTTGTGTGTTGCATCTTGATTGTGATACTTAAATATCGATGTATCGATGACACTTACAAAAATGGATAGTTATCAGTTTTGTAATTTTTGTTGATGAAATATCGTATTATCGATATTATTTTAACTAATATATTGATTTATACTGTTGTAAATTCCCAGTGAAATGCGCCACGTAAGCAAATGCAAAAAAAGTTCGTATTTGCTTATATTATTTATTTCTTAATTATTTTAGCATATGAATTCGCTTGTGTAGATTTTATTCACTACTCCGTGGGAATTCGCCGCACATTGTACTCTTGCGGAATCTAAAAGAAGCTAGAAGTTTAATCGTAGGCCAAAAGGAGGCGCTACTGCGTTTCGTTGTTGCTAATTTTATACAAAAGGTGGCGCGAAAACCTGTCACAGAAGATTGTTGTTAATTCCGCTTAGTTTACCATTTAAATAAACTAATCCTTAGGGCGCCACTGTGAACATTTGAATTGAATTCTTAAGGAATTTTGTACGTATTTCATATAAAATAATTAGACGTTTTTTTTCAGTATATCTCTATATCTATCTTATTGAAGAAAATAGTACCAACAAAAGTAGTATATAGAATGCAGATAACATTCACCTAATAACACAAATATAATGCATTACAAACTTCACAACCTCAAACTTTACAACCTCGAACAGGATGCAAGAACGACAACTTAAGCCCGCTCCAACCACGAGCAGTCATCATGGCCTTTTCGAAAATCAGTTACCGGCAGGCGGCTTTGTTTGAGCTGAACTTGCTAAGGAGGAAGAAGAGCGAGCGGACAAGTGTCCGTTAGTCGGGTGCTAATAAAAACCTGGACACCCGAGAGGCGTCCCCAAAACGGAGCGGAAGAACAGAATCACCATTTTTATATTCGCATTGCTCTCGAGCCGATACTGCTGCTGCTGTTTTCTGCGGTTGTTGCTGTTGGTGTTGCTGCTGCAGCATCTATAGCAACGACAACGTCACAAGCAGCAGCAACAGCAATTGCAGCAAGAGCTCTCTGCAACTCTCGACTTTGCATTCAAATTCAGCTCAGGCGATGAGGATGACGACACACAGTCCGCATCGGTGTCGCTGCCCCAAGAAAATCATATTGCCGTCCAGTCACTTAACTGCCTTCCATCTGCGTCACTCGAGCAATTCTGTGGAGCTGATATAATGCTGCGCAGATATTGCGGAGGGTTCCCACTTATTAATCATAACGCGATATGTTACTGCTGAAATTACTGAATTCTTGGATGGTTTGAAACAACCGGACTAGTAGTAGACGGTGGTAAACGAATATGGTTCTAAAGGGTTTGTTTATATTATTCGAATCGGTTCGAAGTAATATTTTTGAGATCTGTGTAGTTACTGGTTTAACTCTTTTTAATGTTTTTTCCCCCTTGTGCAATCTCAAAAATATTTTAGTTTCTTTTCCAAAAAGCCTATAATACACCCTATATAGGTATAATTAAAAGCTTTAGTTGTTAACTCAACAAAAGTGTTTGCCAAGAACACTTTTGAGATATTTCAGAAAACCACCAAATCCTATTCTAAAGTCAACATGTCTCAATGGCGCGCTTTTTGAAATCCCAGATTTCCTTCTTGATTGTTCCCCAAGAAACGCTTCCCCCAACAAGATCCAACCCTATATTTTTATATTCTAGCCCTCCGTCCGTATCTATATCTGCAGTCGTAGCCAAACCGAAAACAGAGCATTGTGCCCGTCGTTGAATCCAGTGCGCGTGTTGCTGCGACTCTATATAAATATACATTCGTATATGTACGGGGCGCACTCATATAGGAGGTTTCTGTTGTTGCTGACCGGCCTGCCACTGTATCTGTATCTGTGCACGAGTGTGTGCGCTCGTATCTGTATCTGGTGTTTGGGGCTCCGGCTCGGAACGCTCCGCGCCGCGATACCAACAAAAACGAACGACGGAACGTACCAGGCAAACGAACCAACGAACCAACAACGAACGAACGAGCGAACGTCCCAAATGTCGCTGCTTTTTCTATATTTTCAGATTGTATAGTAGCATGGCTATGGAGGTTGGCGGGTTGGCGGGTTGGAGGTACTGAAGTGGTTGCTGCTGCTGCTGTTGTTGTTGATGATTTTGCTGTTGCTATTGCTGTTGCTGATGCCGTTGGCGTTGGCCTGGCTGACTGGCTGACTGGGCTTGTCGAGGACGTTCGCTAGATGGCTGACTGGGTTGGCCGGCTCTTTGGCTCTGCCGTGCTGTGTGCGTTTGCGTGCCAAAAAGCGAGCGATGGCAAAATTCATATGTGCGCCTTATAGTAAAACTATAAACGGCAGCAGCATTCCGGCAACTTGCAATGCTGCCGCGGTCGGTCATTGGCAACAGCACTGTTTGCTGTTCAGTGCGAGACTGCGCAAAAGGAGTCCAGCCTGGTGGCCAAAGGATTCACGTCTTCTAGAAGACCTTGAACAGCAAGATGCTCCTTAAAACTGGGATTTTAGCCGATTCCAATGATGTGTGGGTAGCTTAAGTGCTAAAATTTGCTTTTACATATATAATATATTTAGCTATACCCATTTTTAAATATTTTAATAAGCTTAAGGTACAACATGGTATGGCAAACACTAAACCAAATCCCTAATAAACCTACAACCTTTAATCAAACTCGATTTCTGAGCATCCAAAGACATGATATAGTCATTTGGATTACACTGTTATTATAAAGACCACAACAGCTGTAATCGCTTTAAGAACCAGCTCGAAACCCTCAGCATTTAACCCCCAGAACTCGGAACCATCCAATTCCAGCAAGTTGGGCAATTTTAACCCCGCGAGCAGCCCCCATCGAGCCATCGCCTCGAACTGCATTGCGAGCTGACTGCGCACAAAATTTAACCAGAAAATTTAACAGAGCAGCAGAAACTGAGACCCCAAAACCGAACGAATGGCTCGCATTAAAGTTTATTTCGAAACCGAGTCGCAGGCAGCGCAGAAAGCAGCGCGCTGAAAGGAAAAGAAAAAGAAAACGAACGAACGAACGAACGAACAAAAAAAAAATCCAAGTAAAATTACGACAAGGCAAAGAGCCAGAGCAGTGGGCTGTGGGAATGGGTATGCGGATGGGGATGTGGATGGGGATGGGGATGGGGCAGAAGGTTGACGGTGGCTGGGCTGGCTGCTTGGATGGGGGGCAGCAACGACGAAACGTCGAAAGAAAACAAGAAACTCCAGCAGCAGTGGCCCAAGAGGATGGGGCGTGGGGTGACGGAGGAAGGGGGAATGAATGGTGAGTTGAATGGGAAGGCAGCCGCCACACAAAGTGCCGGTGTGTGCGTGTGTATCTGTGTGCGGTGGGGCGAAGGTGAAGCATGCGATGGCGTTGGTTGGCCTGGCTCGGTACGGTTCGGTTTGGCTTGGATAGCTTGGCTGGCTTGGATAGCTTGGCTGCTCTGGCTCCGTACCACGGGCAAGACGGCGTCGCTGATGGAAAATAAGAAGAAGACAAAAGTCATATATATAACCAGCAAATGAACGAACCAACGAACCAGCTGAATGAAAGCGGCAGCAACAACAACTGCGAGGACGTCGCTGGCGACTCTTGCAACTGCATCCAGCGGCAACATCAGCCGTCACCAGGCACCGGACCTGGCCAAGAACGAGAATTCCAAGTGGTGGTCATCACGCCGAAATGGGCATACCCTTGCCAACCGATCGATGCGGTATTTACAATATAACATATAAAAATAGATAACCGTTGAATGTTCTGTGATATAGTCACCGAAAAAGTATCTATAACTCTTCAACATACATAAATTTAGAAAAATTATAAAAATATAATCATAAAAATAATATATATACATATATATATATGTATATATATACATATTTATATTTTATTTCGGGTGAGAAGAATGACCAAACGGAAATACCCGAAATGAAAGATTAAATATTAAGACTCCCAGCTGTACAGCTGTACAATGTATTACGCATACCCACCAAATCCCTAGGGTATTCCCAACGAAAGAACAGAATATCGCCAGAGCCAGAGTCATAGTCGATGTCGTAGTCACTGGCAAAGGCGGCGTTGTCGTCATTGCCGCACTGACTACTCTGAGGTCTCAGCACACACAGAGACCGGACCGGACCGAAAACGAGAATGAGAATAAGACCGGGACCGAGACCGAGAACCCAGAGTTACCATCAACCAGCGAGCGGCGTTGAGCAACGACAGGCAACCGACCAACCAACCGACCGACCCGACCCAACATTAAAGTTAAAGTAAAGTTGGAATTTGTGCCTCAACGAAGTCCCCCAACCCATAGCACTCCCTACCTAACGTCCTTCCTTCCCCCATGCCGCCTTTTGTAATCAGAATAAACGAAAATTCGCTTAAGCCGTGCACGGTGGAGCAAAGTTTTTGTCAAGATCTGTTAAATGATGAGCTTCTTAAAATACTTAAATCGCGTTTTGTAGCAAAATAATACTATGGAAAGCTCATTTCTATTTTTGTATATAGTTTATAGAAACTTCTACACGTTTTCATAAAAGTATACATGATATATATATGATACATATTCCGCTTGCTTTTTACTATAATTTAAAGTAGCATAATAATGGGAAAATAGTATGATCAAAAGTTTATAGATTTTACTGGAGCTCATATACTTTTATTTGCGTAACCTCTGCTAGACATAGCCCCAAAATAATAATTCATAGTTTCGACTGGCTGACCGCATCTTAGCCTCAATTTGCTGGCATTCTTTAACCGAAAACCACATCCCAAGCCCACTGTCCCCTCTTTCGGGGGCAGGATGTGGGGGCGGGCGGGCTCTTAGAGTGGAGCTGGTGCTGAGGGCAGAGGCAAAACGCAAATGTCAAGACAAACGAACGCAACGAAACGAACCGGGCCGGGTCGGGCCGAAATGGAGCGCCAAGGAGTGGGCGGTGGGCGGTGGACGAACCAAGTGCTGAGAGATTCAGCTGGAAAAGAGGGGATGGTGGGGAGGGTGGTGCGTTGCCGGGCAGCAATCGACTGTGCGGAGACCTAAAATATTCCCCTCACACCTGCTCCGTCCTTCGGCTACCA